CAACCCAAGTGGAGCTCCAGCACATTTGGTCAGCTGGTTTTACCATTGTATGTGCTGCACAGTGTCTGTTGGAAAAGTGTTTTGTTGTTTTCGTTCCATTCAGAAACCACTTGTGTTCTTAGTGGTTCTGCAGGGGGATGTACTCTTGAGTAATTGCACATTTGTGTGCAGTTGCTTTTACATGTGAATCTAATGTTGAGTTAGGGGGCGTGGCCAGCATAATCTTATTTGGATTTAAAGTGACAAGAGGTTCTAAAGTAGCTCATTCTGAAAGGAGCTCAAAATAGGCAGAACTGAGCAAATTAAAATCTTATCATCTAAGAATGATTTTGTGCATGAAAGTTAATGAACATGTTCCATAAAGCTCATAGACCTATCCTCTCCTGTTGAAGGAAGCATACTAGGTCACCTTTAAAAGTTGTCTGATGAGGACTGAACTCTGCATTTGAGCCTGGAAATGTGTGAAAAAAAAAAAAAAAAAAAACGTTTGATCCTTGTGGTTAGAAAACCGCTCTCCATCCTTATCCTCAGGCCCAGAGCTTGGCGGCGAATTCCCCGTCCAGGACATGAAAACCGGTGAAGGTGGACTGCTTCAGGTTACGCTAGAAGGAATCAACCTGAAGTTCATGCACAGCCAGGTAGGAGGCCATTACCACAACAGACAAACTGCCTCTCATCTCACATAAGGGCATGAGAATAAAAACAATTACTCATGATGGCTCAGACTTCATCACGTCCTTCTGTTCCCATCTCTCCTTGTCTTTCCCGTTTGCCTTTGTAGCATTTCTTTTCATCCCGTGACGTCTTCCTCTATTGTCATTAAAAATTTTGATAAAAACGTGACGTGTACTACTAATTTCAACGTATTTGATTGGCTGGTCCTGACGTGCGTTTTCCTCTAGAGGAAGAATTTCTGTATGTGCTTTTGCTTTTTTGGATTAGCTCTTTTTTTTTTTGCGTTTATGCATGCTTGACGTTCTCTAAAAAATGTTAACACATCCCGCCTCGCTGGTTTCCTCCAACATCTGTGGTGCTCAGACCTCATGTTCATTTACTGTGTGGGAGGAAACGATGTTTTAATCTGTGTGTGTGTTGTGCAACAGTGATTAGACAGATGACCTTAAGCAAAGACTTTTCATTAATAATTGGCTATATTATAATAGCAACTTTTCATTTTAAGTTTGGACCCTTGAACATTGTCATGTGTCGTCTTCACATCTGTGCGGGCAGCGGCAGTCTTGGCTTGTGTATTTTCTTAGCTGATTAGAGTGCAATCCTTAGCTTAGGATCCAAGTAAGGTCAACAGACATTTTTTACATCATCATCTCAAAGAAGACAACTAAAGAGTCGGTTGTTATCAACTTGATGCACATTTTGTCCAACTGCATTTTTTTCTCCCGCTTTGGAACTCTTGATTATCTTTGTGTCCCGTATCTTATTAGAATGAAACGGAAGAATCGTTTTATTGTCACAAAATGCAGAAGGCAAACTCTCCCCAGTGGCAGAGTGATCATAGCAGGCCAGTTCTACGGATCGCTCCGTAACTAGGTGCAAAGGAGATGATGAGACAGAAAATTTACATTTGTTGAATAATATTTTGCTCAAGCAAATTACTGAAGAAAATATATCTGCAAACATATGTGCAGTATATATATATTTTTTTTTCTGCCAGAAAGACATTTTAGTTTTTTATTTAAAGTTTAGTCTTCAAAGCCCAAAATTTAAACCCTTTTTTTCCCATTTGTGTGTCACAGCATTCATTTCTGCTGAGAAATCTGTGTGGAGGGCAGTTCGTTTTCACGAATGAGGCAGCAGTGTAGTTGAATCCAAAGTTGAACTGAACTGAAAGATCATTCTGTGGCTTATAAATCAAAGTGGAACCAAACATGAACATATCGATATGGACGTTTAACAAGGATCCTTTTTTCACATTTTGACATGCCACAACCAGAAACTTCACTGTATTTTACTGGGATTTTTTTGTGATAGACAAACGCATAGTAGTGTGTATTTGTGACCTGAAAGACCCACAAATAAAAATCTGACAATTGTTGGTGCGTAGGATTAAGTCCCTTTTGTTCTGTTGCTTTTTAAAAAAAATCCAGTGCAACCAGTTGCCTTCAGAAGCCACCTAATTGGTTTCTTCATGCAGTCTGAGCTGCTGGGATTGAAGACTGGGAAGATTTAAGTCTCCAGATGTGCAAAGCTGGTGAAGACATAACCTTAAAGACTTGCAGTAATTTCCTCAAAAGGTTGTTTTACACAGGGATTACAGAGAAATGCTCACCACAATTGTCAGTTATTTATTTGTGAGAAATTGGTATTCTTTACCTTCCACTCTACGAGTATGCACTTCCATACTCTCAATCACATAAAATTCCAATACAATACCATGATGTTTGTGGTTTTTAAATGATAAAAGTGACATCTATAAAGTACATTTACAAGACCTGTGTAAACACTATTAAAGTTTCTATCTCCTCTTTTGATTTTTTTCTTCAGGCTCTTGGCCTGAATTTTTCCTTTCCAAAGATTAAATTGATATGCTGCTGTAGACGGTAATAATCTCAAGACAAACTCATTTTTCTTAAAAAGGATTATCTGATGCAAGATTGGTGTATATAAAAGCTCACATTTGGACTCCGTTTTTCTTGTGTGTTTTGTCAAGGGTTTTTTTTTTTTTTTTTTTTTCCCCACTGCTCAGAGTTGAGCTAAGATGAGTTGCTCTGAGGTGATAAGGTGTCAGAGGCGACATCCTTCATGCTAGTGGGATTAGCAGTCTGCCCTCATGTTACCTGTTCTGCTGTTGTGAGTGAGTTGTGTTGGTGCCAGCCGTTGTTGCTGGAGGAGGAGGCATGGAGGGCTCTGGGGGACTGAGATGTTTTAAAATCCATGAAATCAAAGGTGAATCAATTTCTCAACACTCTAGTCAAACTTTAATCCTTTTTCCCTTATTACTATTTGCTAGCTCTTGTGGTTGAATCTTCTTGTGGTGTTTTTTTTTTTTTTTTTCTTTTTTTTCTTTTTTTTTAATCATTGGCTCTCAGATTCTTGATTTGAATCTTTACGAGGCTCCTGCAGATAGATAGCGCCCTCTCGGAGTGTCGTCGAGTGTTTGTGCTCTTCTGTCCGATAATAATCCAAACCATTTCTCTCCCATGCTCTCTCCCCCTGCAAGGAGCGGAAGGTACACAACCTCTGCTGTGTTTGCTTATTAGCAGTTACATCTTATTGGGTTCCTTTTGTTTCCTCTACCTGTTTTTCTTTCTTTCTTTCCTTCTTTCTTTTTTTTACCGTCGTAGTGTATGGCAAGTCTAATTTTGTGTTCTTGTCTCCATTTTGTATAGAACTTCCATGTATGCATCATATGGGCCATATTGCCATTATAAATTCTTCTTGTATATGAATAACCACACGTTTCATACGTCTGATGCACTTCATTGACTAAATGAGTTACTCTGACTTACTGTTGAGCAGACTAAATGCATTTCTTCTCATTGCCCATGTATGCGTTTGACCATGGAAACTTCTCATAGTGTGTTTTTTCTTTTTTTCTTTTGGTAGCTGTTAAGCGCTTGCATTTCATGTGTAGTTGTTTTTATTTTACCTTTCATACTGAATGAAACGAGTTTAACACGGTTAATTTCTTTTAATTTCTAAATATGAAGTGTTTACTCTTCATCCGGTGTTGTTGAGTTAATAATGTTCTGTCTTGTTTTTGTTTGTTTTTGTTTGTTTTTAGGTTTTCATAGAGCTGAGTCACATTAAAAAGTGCAATACAGTGAAGGGAGTCTTTGTCCTGGAGGAATTTGGTAATTACACCATCTATTGATTCTAGGCCTGTACTCGGCACGGCAGTAACTCAGCTTCATGGCAAATTCACTGACGAGAGCTTGGATCGGCTTGCTAAATTGAATCCTCATTCTGTTTTAGGAAGGCTGAGGTTTTGATGTCTGCAGGTGGGGAAGAGGGCGTTGAATTTTATAGAGGATGTAGTTTTCAGTTACAGAGTAGAGTCAGAGTAACACTTGATGTAGTTGTTAAGAAGGAATAGTGTGTGAAGACGTTTCTTCTGCTGTCTTCCACTGAATGTTTATATTTACAATCAAGGCAGGCGTCTTTTAAAAAAAACTTAACATTTCTTTATAACCAGTTTTAAAACCGTTTTCAGACATAAGATGTCTGTTAAAGCAACAGCATTCAGTTATGACATCACAGATGCTCTGTTTCCATATTTTTCAATTCCCTGAATCTGTCATATTACCTTTAAATTTAATATAATTACGCAAAATGCAACAAACAATAATGAGCAGGGAATCTCATTATTTTACTTGCAAAATCTGGAGTTGCACTGATTGGATTATAACTGGCTGATACCGACTTTTCTGATCTGCCAATTTTATTTCAGATTTAAGACTAAAACTACCTTTGGAAAACTTACTTAAATAAACTTAATTACTAAAAACAAATTAATTGGTGTATTTAGTTCTTATTCATCTCTTCCTTGCAATTTCACTGCTTTTACATGTAGGTTTTATTAAAATTATGTGGTAAGCTTCCTAACAGTTATCAATGGCTATACCCAACTGTTTAAATCTGTTTTAAAGCCAAACCTTGTTCCCTTTTCTGTGAAGAAAGTTTTACTGGATAACTGAAGAGCCTTTTAGTTCCCCAAGTTTAAATAAAGGTGTTTTATCTCTGCTACCTGCAACTTTGTCAAAGCATAACACCTCGATCTCTCAGTATGAATTACAACACAAAAACACAAATTGATAAAATGAGCTATAAATCTAAATCAGATTCAAAAATGTATTATCCTGTAATTTAATCAGCGATCAGAACTGATCCAGGTAAAATTGGTTGATTGATTGTATCACTGATAAATGTTGCTGAGCATTCAGTTCAATTACTTTGCAGTTAAAATGTAGCTCTAATAAAGAATCTGAAGTAAAGAGAACCTTTACTTCAGAATCTGAGAAGCAGCATAAAACTTTACCTTAAAGTCCATATCAAGCTGGCGAGTGTACTGCACTGTATGGAGGAAAACTGACGCATCAAAGCTGCTGTAAATTAGTGAATTATAATCAGCAAAAACTTACACAGACGATCAAAGACTTTTAAAGCACTTCTGAGCTGCGTTATGACACTACAAACGGCTGTAGAAAAGATAAATCTGGCACCTAATTATTGGTGAAGTCAAGGTGAAAGAAAGTTTAATCAGTGTTTTTTTATTTTTTTATAGGATCAGCTGATAGGAATCCAGATCAATCTTTGGTGTGCATTAATATTTACGGATCAAAACATAGCACTGACGCGCTTAGTTGCTGATTTATAAAGTGACCTACTTTGTCTAAAACAGAAACAAATATTAGATGACTCATTGTGATTTCAGCAGATGGATGAATCATGAGGCATGTTTCCTGTGGCTGTTGGTAGACAGAGAGATGCTAGCAGCTTAGAGAAGTTGCTATCATCCATTTTCATACAGCCTGAGATGTTCCTCTGCGGACGCTTGTGAATTCTCCACCACAAGCTGCTAGAAAGCACACTCTGATCTGAGGCTTTACCGCCACAATATGATTACCATAAATGAGCGAAGGGAAACAACTCCAACACACAGAAGATTTCTTTGCTTCTTAGCAGCACAGTCTCTGCAGCAAAAGAAGCAGTCGACGTTGCCACAGCAACTCGTGCAGTCTAACCAATAAAAAATAAACAGCAGATAAATGAGTCTGTAATTTCAGTGAACTCCATACACACAGGAATAATAGTCACATGTTTCAATAGTTAAATTTTATTTGAATTTATTAAAAATTTTTAAAGCATGGGACAATAAATCTACTTATAATTTATTTATTTATTTATTTTAAGTTTTTCAGAACAATAAATCTGAGATGAAATAAAAAATTGTTTTGCACTTATACGCTCTCTTTGTCCAGACAGTTGTGATCAACAGTTGGATTAGTTACAGCTCTGTTTATTTATGCAAGCTGGAGTTAAAACAGATGACTCAGTTCTGACAGAGCAGCAGGTAGAAGTTGGATGTCTGGCTGAGTTACTGTCGTGCCTCTGTGCTGCTTTTGTAATGTTGCCCTCATCTTTGCCACTATGAAAACCTTCATTCTCCAGCAGGTAAAGTGTTGCCACCTTTCTTCTTCCAAAAAAAAAAAAAACTAGATTCATGTGGATTATTTCCTTATTCCATCACTGCGCTGATTATTTTCCACCTTCTTTGTATAAATAAGTATTCCTCTCCTTCATTCATCCCTTGCTTTTTTCTTTTTTTTTTCCTTTTTGCTTTGAACATCCATCCTGACATTATTCCTCATGTGGTCATCGTTTGCTGAATGTCCGCCTCAGTATCTCAACCAGTTGGGATCTCAGGTGGGACGGCTGCTTTACGGGGGTTGATTCTAAGGGATTTAGCATTTCCGAAATCCCCCGACATCTGTCCAGATCTCAGCCTCTTCATCTCTGCTCTGGGTTCACAGTTACTAATGAAAAGTCAGTCTGTCCTCTGGGCAGGGTCTTAGCCTCTTCTAGCTGCTCTTCTGTGGCGGCAGGTCACAGGGGAGAAAGGGTTAGAAAAAGGAGGTCGTCTTTCTACTTATTTCTTTTTGAATCGTTCAAATCTTATAACCTCTACAGTCTGTTATAAGAAACGTGTGTGTTTTATTTGTCCATTTAGTGGGCCATGAATGTGTCACCAGCAGCCTGTTTGTCATTTCGACACCAGCTGCTTCTCTTTGAAAAGTAGCGAAGAGTAAAACATAATTTTCCCAAACAGTGCTCTCTTGTCCTTGGTTTGAACTCTGTAAATTTATTCACAAGCTTTCCGACTGTTACGGTGTAACTTCTTGGTCCACTTCCCATTGTACACATAATTGAAATTCCAACCCTGTAACTTCCCGAAGCTCTCAATCATGAACTCATCCAATTTCCTGCTGGCTTTGAATTCTTTGTTTTGTCTCTTGCACCGACATAGTTCCTGAAACTAAAGAAGTGGTGATCCACAAGTACAAGACCCCCATGGTGAGTCCTGTTGTTCTGTCTTTCATCAGAGCTAGAAAGCTTTATGCCGTTGTTTGAAGCATAATCTCCCTCTGCCTGGAGTATTTTTAGGATGTATTGTGACTAAATATGTTGATGACTCAGCTGGCGTGGGTCTGGTGATTAGTTTGTCATGTATGTCTCATACATGATGGTAAAAAAAAGAAATCCAATTGTTTAGGACAAATTAGTGCAATTTGGCAGTGTTTTGTTTTTGGTAAAGTTTGTTTTTTTATACGAGTAAAAGCTTGAGATATTACCAGGTTTTCAAACAAAAATCCCCAGAAATAGTTGGTGAAATTATTACATTTAGATGAAGAAACATCTAAAGAAACTGATGAAATATATAATATTAATGCAGTACCTTGCAAAAATATTGGTTCCCTTTAAATGTTTGTACAATTCAATATCGTTTAAGGTTTTTTAAAACTATAAAACATATTGAGAAAATTTTCTAATTAAATTGGGGTGGAAAAATCAAAATCAAAGTTTGTAAACTTGTCTGAAAACATCCGTTTTTATGTCTTGCAACACAAATTTAATTGGATTTAGATCTACTCTTGGTGCTCAACTCTGATTTTAGCTGAAGTTCGATGTGTTTTTTAAGTAATTAATTAAATTTTGCATCCCGAGATCTCTAGCAGTTGATGAAAGTGCACAGCTGAAGGGATTGAGGGTTGTAATTGCTTAGAAGTCTGCTTCTGTTCCCTAATGAGTGCAGAGCACTTTGCGTAATCTCTGCTTTTAGGCCACTCTTGGGAAGTTTACTCGTGGTCTTATATTTCTTGCGTTCCTACATGACCTGCCTGATCCTGGATTTAAACTCCAAGATGGCCTTGTAACTTTTTCCAGTTTGAGCAACATCAGTAACTCTTTCCCCACAGGATCATAAAAGCTTTTACTGCGTGCCGTATTAAATTTTGCACAAACCTGCAGTAAAGCAACGTTCAAGGTTCAAATGCTTTTGAATATGAGCAGCTAAGATAGCTTTGCATGATGCATGACATTTTATTTGACCTATGGAGTTTCTCCTTTAATTAAAAAAAAAATGTAGATCTAATATTACTGAAAGTTGCTGTATTCTGTATCATGCATCTGCAGAGCCTCTTAATGGGGCAGTATTATGTACAATTGACTTTTCCTTCATTAGAAACATACCTAGATGTTGCTTTGATTCTTTCATGCATGTTTGAGAAATCATTTAATCTCCCATGGCAACCATTCACCTGTGCGTTTTGCCTGGGTGGACACAGCACTGCCTTCGAGGCGCAGCTCCTCCTCAGAGCTGCAGTCTCCAAGCTTACAAGCTTTGGCCTCAAAGAGCCTCTCCCACCCCCTGACTCCCCCACTCTGCTCCTTCAGACTAGTCAGCAGCAATTAGCAAATACCTGATGGAACTGTGCATCAGCTGACCTCGATACAAGCGACTTCTCAGTGCAACACTGGTAAAAAAAAAAAAGTTCAAGGGTTAATGGAGACGATGACTTCCTGATGGAATTTCAGAAAGAGCAGGAGTTTTAGAGACAGAGGCCCAATGTCAAGGAGATAAACTGCTAAGTAAACATTCTTTTACATCATATCTGATATATTTAGTATTTTTATAACAACTAAAGTTAATATGGTTACTTGCTGTGCTATAAAATGGCACTAAGTACCTGAAAATACATAATACTGCTCCTTTAAGGACTTTAAATGGTGCATTTCCAGTTTTAGTGTTTGATGTCCGTTTACTTTAATGGGTTTAACTTGTTCTTATTACTGGTTCTGTTTCCTGTATAATTCGCCTCTGTTCCCCCTCTGCAGGCACATCAGATCTGTTACTCTGTCCTCTGCCTCTTCTCCTACGTGGCGGCTGTGAAGGGGAAGGAAGCGGAAGGAAAACCCAAGCTGCTCTCACCAAGACCCCTTCCCAGCTAGTCGACTCCTCCTGCTCCCCTGCCCCCTCCCAACCTCCTTCCTCATCCTCAGTGTGCCTCTCTACTTGAACTTCATCTCTCTTTAACCAGACAATCCCCAAATTTAAACCTAAGCACACAATCCCTGCTCCCCCTCCCTCCTCCTGTGTAAATATGAGCCTGTGATCCTTTTTAGATCCAGTTGTGTAGACATGTTTGGTCCTTGATGTCGTGTAAATAACTCCAAACATTCTCCGTCGTTGTCCTGATGTTCCGAACCCAACTAGTTCCACATTTGCTTGCTCCTTGGCATCAGAGAAGCAATTCGTCAGCTCTGTGTGAAGGCCTCGGCGACGCCAGGTCTGAGCCACAGGCTGCATGCAGGTCCTGTGCAGCAGCAGCAGCAGCAGCTCATCATCTCCTGCTCGCCTCCATACAGCTCTGTGTTATTCTGTGACGTGTGATTACTGTAAAGTCCCAGTTTGTCCAAGTTGAAACTGGTGAAGCATCCGGGAGACCCTGTTAGAGTGCAGTGACAAAGCAGCTGCATCCTGCACTAGAGCACCGCATGTAAACTCTTCTTAATGGTGTTTGGTCCTAAAATACTTTCGGTGTTCTCAGATGTGTTCTCTTGCCCACCAGGCTGAATAACTGTTCTAGTTCTGCTGTAAAACTTCTCGTCTGTGCTCCTCTGGTATTAACTGCATGTTACTATAAGGATGAAAATAAATATTATATATATATTTCTATATATAGTATTTATTTAATATATGCATTTAGACTGTACATTTTTCTGGAAAAAAAAAAGTTACAAAATGTTGATTTGCTTGATGTGCAATACTTAAGTAGTTAGCCATTGCCAGAGTCGGGTTCTCTTGGCTCCCACAGGGTGAAGAATGTAAGATGTTTTTTTTGTTTTTTTTTTCTATTGTGTGTTTACTGAATATACAGTGTGATATGACTGGTCAAAGTGTCCTCCATGGTTAATTATCGGTCAGTCACAAGACAGAAAACTGAACATTTCAAGGTGGTTTATCATTAAAGTTAGATTCACTTCCAACTTCAACCGGTAGACAGAACATCCTCTGCAAGCAGCAACATTAGTCTGCGTGTAACATAAGACAGCCAGCTCTATCTGCATTATTTGAAGGTTAACATTTTTCAGAGCAAAAATTAGCTTCTTAAGTTTTGATTTGATGGACAGATTTATGGATTCACTTATGAAAAGCAGCATTTGAGAAGTGCAGCAGCAGTTTAATAAATTAAGCGTAAACAAAGTTGTTTTTTAAAAAGTTTAATAAGCAGTTTTTACTTCCCCAATTTTCCATTTTTAGTTGTTTCTTGCTTCAGTTTGCACATTTCTCCTGCTTTAACATAATCTCAATTATGCTTGTACTAAAACAAGTAGACGCATCACATTCCTTGGTAGAAATAGTTTAGAATCCAACAGAAACTGCAGGAACTACAAGATTTCCACAATTTATACCAAACATGTCCCCGACTTATTTTTGCTTAGACTTCTCTCAACCAAAATGTGTTCATGGACTGAAAATGGTGGGACTTCTTACTTTTGATGCTCTTGGCAGCAGAAAACTTGGGTACGAAACGAATGTATGAATTTATGAAGGGTTGAATTGACTTAGCTGTCCAGGCTTTACTTTATATCAATTAGTTTGAAAACCTCCCAATTTAAAAAGTACAAATGATACAATTTTCTGCTAAACAGAAAGTGAGTTGCTGAATGTAAATGTTAAATTGTGATGAGCAGCCGACAGAAAACCTGAGGGGGTTTTGGATCATGGAAATCAAAGTCAAATCCAGAATCCAAAACTGTAAAGATGTAAAGATGGAACAATGACAGAAATTCTAATTTTGTCTCAAAATGACTTTTGTAATCGGATTTCTGTCATGTGATCGACCCTTCAGACGTGTTCAAGCCAACATGTATAATCATGACTGACTCTGAGGAGATTTTGTCTTTAAGTTCTCTTTGTTCCATGACGGTGAAAAATAGGCCCATTCCACAGTGTGTGTGTGTGTGTGTGTGTGGTCACATGGTGAACAGTTTCCTGATCAGCAATATATTGCTACAGTAATATCACTGGAAGAGCTTTTATTTTAATCCTGACATGCTTGTATTTTTAGTAACTTAACTGTGCAAGGTAGAAATTTCAGGACGTCATTGAGAAGATGATGTTTCATCTCTACAACTGATCTGCGAATTCTGCTTTGGCTACAAAGTTTTTTTTGTTTGTTTTTTTTAAATCTGGAATATTACAATTCATCTCTGTTATTGTTCTCACTGGCTGAGAAAGGGAGGGAAACAGTAAGGAGATGCCAGGTGTAAGTATTCCAGTACTTGGAGGTAAAAAAAAAAAAAAAAAGGTATTTATAGACTATGTACAGCTTTGGCAATATAATAAAGTTGTCCTAAATGAAGCTGTTGTATTTTTTTTTTTTTTTTTTTTTTTTGACAAAACGCACTTAAATTTGTGTTTTTTGTAAGATTTATTGCAGGAACTGGTTTGACACATGGCTGTTTAACTTCACACTAAACCATTAAAAGTACAAATGGCACCACTTTGAGACCAGAGCTGCCCATAAATAAACCAAAACCAATTTCTTTCAAATTAGCTCTTATAAGAAAAATGTGCCATATTCATTTTTCCATTTAAAAAAAAAAAGTACCTGTGTGAATATAGTCATGGATGCACGAGAAACATGACAGCTTGTTTACAAAGAGAAAAATATGCACTTTGTTGCAATTAACTTCAGATCTTAGGACATTTTGTCAAAATATCTTTGTGATGCAAGGAATCATGATTTCTTTAAAAATAACCTTTCTTTTTTGACAAATCAGAACAGGGAATAACATTTAAAAATAATAAATTAGAGCTTATTTTTATGTGAAATACCCTGGATAGTCTATGAAGCATAGTTAGGTTTAATTTAAAAAAAAAACTCCAAAGGCACCTTTTAAATCTATAGACCAGGCATATTTGTTGTTGCATTGTTGTGTTGCACAAGTTTCAGGCTTCAAACTCTGAATATTAAATATACTTTGCTTTTAGCTTGCCATCTAGTATTTTAACATATTGATTCTGTCAGCACTTTTTAAGACCAATGTGTAGTTTTAATTGAATTTTCAGATGCTAGAAGAGGCTTTAAATCTTTCTATGTAAATGTGACCTTTTGTCCGACGCCCACGCGTCCCCGTGGACATTTCTGCGGACAATCCGGAGACGAGACATCACCTCGTCCCAGTCCAAGTAGGCACCCTCCAAGTGTCGCAGCCTGTCTGGCCTGCTGATGTAGCTCTTCCTGCCGTGCAGCAGACGCCAGTTGTCAAAGGTCACAATGTCACCTGGAATAAAACACGCAGGATCAGACATGAGTGTTTGCTGTTGATCTGAGACGGTTTTGTGCAGGTAATGTATAACACAAACCAGAAAGGCTAAACGTCAAGAAGCTTAAGGTCAGGCATCATTTAAAGTTCAGGACATGGCAGAAACAAATCCGGTTTTATCCATCTAATAATGAAAATCTGGCTGAAGATTTTTATTTATTTATTTTTTATTGGAGGAAAGTCCTTCAGTGAATACAGAGGACACAGAGGTTACCAATGGTTTGGACGTTTACTGCTTGAAATAATGCAGTGGCAGCCAACAGATCCATCCTGCTGCACATTAATGTCCTGAATCTCAGCTGCTACATGCAGCACAGATGCATGTCATGGCTTTTGCTAGACATTGGTAACTTGATTTGGCCAGCTGTGACAGAGACGGCAGTGACGTTTTAATGCCACCGTGACCTTAACGATGACAAAGATGTTGTTCACCATGTTTACGACAAGCTGCAGTAGCCTGCAGAACAACGTCCTTCTCTCTGAAAACACACTGCCCTTGCTTTTTGTAAATCTCTACAGAATGTTGATTACAACACAAACTTAGATTTATTTTCCTAAGATTTCTTGATAAATAAAGGTGGAATAATGAATGGAGGTGCATATTTTTTTAGCTATCAGAAAAGTGTGTTGTCCCTCTGGACACTTATGCCCAAGTCCAGAACTAATCTTTACTTTGAGTATTTTATTCTTTCTCCAGTTAGGCTGTCGAATGTATTTGATGCCCACAGCTTTTGTTATTTTTTTTATATGTATTTGTGTTGTATTTATACAGCATATTTTTTTTCTTCACAGAATTAATGATTTTGGTTAGTAGATGAATGTTTGAGATAAATGTATGGCCCGGTAGGCTACAAATAAATTCTCCATTGGGATCAATACAGTCTGATTCTGAAACTGAATCTTTCAATGATCTATTTTGTGTTGGTCAGGTAAATAAATTATAGGCAAACTTTTCATTTTCAAAGTGACCCACTGACCTGGCTTCATGGTGTAGGTGACCACGTTTTCCGGCCTGTTCATGATGTCCACATAGGCCCTCAGGGCTCTATAGAAGGGCTGGACCTGGTGTAACGGGAGGTCCAGCACAGAGTCTCTGGTGGCGTTGTTGTAGTTGATTCTTGTGACTTTTCCCTCAGAGTCAACGCTGATTAGAGATATTACAGAAGGACATGATTAGACTTTGGTGAGTTTCGATGTTTGGAGCTGAAACAATTTTCTTCCAGGACCCTATTTAACTTAAACTGTAATGCTTTTAAACATCCTGCTTTATACCTATAACATGTAGAGCTGCAGCTGCTAAATATTTCAATAATCTATTGATTATTCTGAAGATTAGATTGAAGTCAGTTTTGTACCATATCAAAAATGCAAAATAAAAATCAAACATATAGCTAAATTCCTTTTATAAGTAAAATAAACTCTTTTTTTTTTGCCTGACATGCAATAACAGTGTTATTTTAGTGTAAAGGTACGTCTGCAGTGAAAAAAATCCACTTCTAACATCAACATGTGAAAAACTTCATACTTTCTGTTTGACCAAACATCAACAGTTTAAGGGCTAATGAACATATTTACAAAGAGGGTGTTGTTCTTTAAGTAAGTGACTATTTTCAGAGTCATTATACTTTAGTTAATTAATCCATTTCTAAATTAATTGACAGTTATTTCAATAATCATGGAAGCTGAGCAACTGAGCAAATTTTGATTCAGTGAACTGAGCAAATTTGTTTTCAGTCAAAGTAATTTATAATCACCTCATTACGTTCACATAAAGGAACAAGTAAATATGCTGTGAACCTGTAGATTTGAACAAACAGATCAACACATCCCAAATTTTCATGAATGTTTCATCCATATTCCAAAGACTTATATTGTGGTTCAAAATCCAAGGGCCCTGAACGCATCTTTTTTTAGAGTCACAAAGAAAATACATATCGGTTTTTAATATTTCTGAACAGCAGATGGCAGTGTCTCCATTCCAAATGAAATAACTGTACACACACACACTCACTCTTACAGTTACACGATGTACCACCAAATCAGATGTGTGTGTGTGTGTGTGTGTGTATTGTGAAACAGTCACCTGACGTCTCATCGATACTTACTCGATGATGCGGTTCTTGGACTGCAGCATGAAGTCGCAGTAGTCCGTCCCAGTGTCGGTGAAGTCCACATGGAGCGAGGTGAGTGTCCGGAAGGCCTCCGGATCTTCTCGCTGCAGCTGCTCGGCCATGTGGAAGCCGTCCACCGCCTCGCTCTCCCCTCCTTCCTTCGCCTGGTTAATGCAGTGCAGGAACTGCACCTACAGCAGACCGAGGCACACATGCCGAGCAAATGCTCCCTTTAAGGCTCTGAAGTCATGGAGGCCAAATGCCAAGACATGATTCATCGCTGATCCCGTTCCTGTTTAATCCTCTAAACGGCACTTAAGAAAGATTTTACTCACCCCAGGTGCAAAGTGTAAAGCTGGATAGTCTGTATGCAGGCTCAGCTTCCCTGAAGTGTACGCCACATTGTTTGCCATGGATTTGTCCTGGACCTGCCATGTATGCCTGAGGACAAAGATAACATTCATTAATAAACCCCACTTTAATTATTCCACTTTGGCAACAGAAGATCAGCAACGACAATTAGGCAGCGAGGAGAAAAGGATGAGATGAGATGAACTTTGGAGGGATCCCTGAGGGGAAACCGGGCAGCTTCACAGGAATGCTCAGACTGTAGACTCTTAAGTAGATCCTTCATTGAGATGCAGCATGAGTCGAGCACTAATGAGCTAAAGTTATCTTCAATGTTCTGTTTGTATGCCTCGTTCTGGACGAAGCTCGAGTCATTACCAACTTCTCTCGTGGCAGACTCTTAGTTTTCATCTGCCGACTTTTCACTTCCTGCAGAATGAGCTCATCTCCTGCTGGTGGAAGAGCTTTATGATTCAAACTCCAGTTGCAGCTGAGTGCACCAGGATATTCCTCAGGAAAGATGGAATACTTGTAGTTTGTTTTCCTCGTCTCTGTCCTCAAACAATCAGCCCTGCAGCAAGTCAAAGTGATAAACTGTTGTGATTGAAAAAGGCTAAGAGATACTAAGTAAGCTCAACTTTTGGAGTCAATATGAACCCAAAGCAATAGATGAATGACTCGTGCATACGCTTTAAATACTTCTGTGCTTAAAAAGGTTGACTTCTTTTTTTGAATGTCGAGAAGTTTGCATGTACTCATCATAAGAGTAAATAATTAAGATGCATTTCATCTACTTTCTTCAACGTAGAATAATTTTCACCTTAAAAAAAAAACAACAAAAAAAAACAATGCACAAGTTTTCTAGTCAATTCAGGGTCAAACAAAATCACTATAGGGTATACAGTAACCCCCAATAATCAGAATTGGTAAAGTTTATTAAAACTGGTTGTTTTCTTAGAACATTTTCTAAAGACCGTGGGGAAGGATGAATACTCAGAGCCCATAAGTATTACTATTTACTTCACATTAAATTTAACTTTGTGCATCCAACTGTAATTTTAAAAAAAAATATTCCAAGGTATTTGTTGTAAAAGCGATCCAGCCTTTCAAGAGAGTAGTATGAATGAAACAGTAAAAGCCCAACATTTTTGTAACATTAGCACACATTCGTGGTGATTAAATTAAAAATTCTCCACCACCTTTATGCTTAGCCACAGTGCTGAATGTGCTTCCAGGAAACAGTCTTACCCGTAAAACGTCAGCCTGAGATATCCAATCCTCTCAGCCAGTCTGGCCACTTGACCTTGCTCTGCAGGCGCCCCCTTTAGGTGCACGATACCAACTCGCCGTAGGGCCAGGAGCCAGGCGAGCGCAGCCCCGTCGTCATGGAGAACTTCCTGGAAGTCAGCTTGGGGAATATGCAGCGTCGCGTCCCAATAATAACGCTCTGAAATGCAAACACATTATGGTTTTTACCCCAAAGCTGCTCCATAGAAACTACAGCTGGGAGCGTTCACACTGATGTTTCTTTATTGCATTCTTTGTGTCTGTTAGGAACCAGTTTTGGGTTCTTGTTAATAAAAGACAAGCTTTATTTTCCAATGTACTTTCAATCCAGGACACAACCGTAAATCTAAACACAGACGAACACCATTCAGAAATCCTCCATGTAAGTTGGACTGTGCTGATAAGATGGAGCACAGCTGTCCAGATGTGCAGCACATGTTGAACTCGGGCATTATAAAACATCTGACATCTAGTTATTTTGTTTACTGTGAGAAAAAGACTTCTAGACAAACATTTTTAGTTAAACACTTTCTTTTCTCCAGTTTTCTTATCCTAAAAACTTTCTTTTGCATTTGACAAGATCAACTACGACAGTTTGTTTTACTCTAGAAAGGAAGCGATTTATCTCTAAATCCATTACTGCATCCTTTGCTTATTGGAGCTGAATAATATTATAAACTCTGCTGCTCACTTGAAGATGAATGGTTCTCTGAAAAGTAAAAAAAAAAACATGTTAAAAAAAAAACAGCATGTCTCCATCAGACAGACAGAAATGGAAAGAATCTTCCCATTGCTCTCCACCCAGCTGGCTTCACTCCTTTTTCCATGCAGCCTCCCTCCAGTGACTTCCAAAGAAACAGCTGCTAAGTACATTTGTGGGTGGGGGGTGGGCGCGGGGTGATTTCACACGAAGTGTGTACCTGTCTGATGTTTATGGCGCCTCCTTGTGTCTCTTAAGTAACCGCTATGTTCAAAACAAAGCTTAATAAAGCTGCAGCACAAAGCAGCCTACCAGAAAGAAACCGAGGATTTGATAGAGTCAGAATGTTCCTGCTGAAAACCAAGCATGATTTATTCTCATGAGAAGTGTCCAAAACCACCAAAGAAAATACGCCCGTTTGCTGAGGCCTGTGAAAATTTAAAGACGCAACAAAACAACTTCAAGTGGTGATTTTATTGCCTTGTTTTTTAAAACCAGTGAGGCGCGAAGACCGATGCTACACGAGTCGGGAGCACGGTGGTCATCAGGACTCGCAGACCTCCCTCCAGGCTGTTGTCACAAATGATCAGTTACTGGCTCCTCAACTCACTCAGGTCAAGGATCCGCTGCCTGTTAAAACGTGTCATGAGGATGGAGACAAACAGAGAGCATGGGAAACCTGGGCAAAGGTCAAACCTGGATGCTACAATTAATTGGGGAACGTGCACAGGCATAGCAGTGCTTCAGTTTTTTTTTTTTTTTTTCACTTCAGGAAGTCGATCCTTACAGAAAGCTTCTGGCTCGGGTTGTAGTCTTCCTATACGTGCTCAGTCCCAGCAGCAGTTCAGCACAAATCTCATTCTGAAACTTGTCACGCTCGCCATTATCAGGACAGTTCACTGTGTGCCTGCTGGGCTGAACAAAAGATGAGAACCTTGCTTGAATATCTACCGTCTAATCATGTAATCAGAGACGCACAGCAGCTTGTTTACGACTGGGAGAGTTAATCACAAATCTTAGATATGTGAGATGAAAAGAAAATAATGAGGGCCTTTTAACCTAAACAGTGAAAAGTTCAGAACCGGGTCAAGCTGTAAACAGATGAAAAAGTACAATCATGTGTGGACTGTGTGAAAGCAGTTTTATGAAGTGTGGATGACAAATTTAATACTGAAACGAAAGAAAAAGATTCCGGGATAAACAGCTGCATGAAGATCAAACTCAAACTACTAGTTTTATATTCTACAAATCTGGCCTTTTGGGTTGAGGGCCAGGAATTAAGTCGTTGGAAGTGTACTGAAGGAAAGTAGCATGTCAAAATGTTGACTTTTTGGAATACAAAAAGATAACCAATTCAAAAATACTTTGAATTTGAAAGTGACATTAAGTAAACACATCCTGAACAAGTTATCCTCATCATGAAACATGGTGGTGGCAGGATCATGATGTGGGACAGGGATGTGAGTCATAGTTGATGGCAAGATGGATGGAGGTATCAAAATTGGCAAAACTACAAGAAAACAGTTAGTGGCTGAGGCAGAAAAGTCCACAAAGAATTGGATTACATTTGTTTCTTGTTAACAAAAAATAACTTCTAACTCTTATCCACAAATGGCTACCTCCTGATTTTATTTGGAAATGAATTCTGAGGTTAAAATTTGTACTATCAGGTAATGTATTATGATTTTATTAATCTAATGTCCATGTCAACTTTCTGAAGACTCCCTATCGCCCCCCAGAGGCCATGGCTCCCATTTTCAAAAGAATTAGTAGAACATAAAATCCAAATAAAAACTAAAAACTCTGCAGAGACATAATCAACTGTGGAGGGATATGAATACTTTAGTAAAAGACATGATGTCTACACTGGATGTTGTGCCTCCTCCTCAAAAGTCAAACACAGTCAATGCTCGTTTCTCAGTGCACTAAAAATATTTGACCCAATGCAGGTCCTTAAAAGTCATTATGAATTCAGTAAAGTTGTCTCAGAGAAAATGTTCTTAGACACACACATTTATTTAAATATATATTGATGTGACACTGCAGAATCACCAGAAAGGCAATGAAAAATTCAATAGTTACCCAGGCTTAATTTTAGTTCAGTCGGGGTGACTTGACTCAAAGAGACTGTTCTTCTCACTAGCAGTTATTAGCATTTGAACGTACAGTATGACTCTGTTCTGGGACGCTGCAGTCCTTCCACACACACAAGCAGAGCCAGAGGCAGGCGGAGCAGCTGCACAGGGCCTTGATGGTGGGGAACACAGCGGGCCTCACTGACAACAGACATGGCATTGAAGTCATACGCAGTATGAAAATAAGGAGCTGTGAGAGCAAAGAGACTCAGAAGGGAAGGCTGTTGGAGTGAGATGTCTCGAGCAGCTTCAGTGGTACACACCACGAGATGTGCCTTATTGGACTGGAAGAAATATATCAACTGAACCATCAGCTCATGTGAGCAAATGTTACACTGGAAGTGTCGAAGGAGCTTCACATGATCAGAAACCCGTTATTAAAAATTCTCTTTACAGGTATTTACATCAGGTCAAAAGCTTCTTGCAGGGACATGCTGTCCCACCTGCAGTTTGTGTTGTTGGATGTGTACTGACATGCATGAGAAGCAACAAAAAAGACTTTAAACATTTAAGACAAGCACTCCTGATGTAGGTCAGTGTATTTGCATGAAAAATAAGGAAAAAATAAGCAACGGTCTGGACTTTGACTGGACCTTTGTAGAGCATGAACATGCTTTGATCTTAATCTGCAGTCCAAAAGAGCCAGTGTCCTACAGCAGTGAACTGCCTCCTTATAAACAAATCATGTCCTTTCTTCAACTCAGTCTTAAATTTACATTTGCTAACATTTTCAGATTAGCAAAGGTAAGTTTCAGGTCAATCTATGTTTGAGTCTCAAGTCTCTCGGGGTTTTCTTTCATAAGTGCCCGGTATTCATCTTCCTAAATCCTCCAACAAGCTTCCTTCTACCTGCTGAAGAGAAGAATCCTCACAGCATGATGTTAACCCATTAACCTGCAATGGAACGGTATTTCCCAGGGGTGGGAGCGAGCTAAAGGGTTTGCATTTTTTTGTCACATCTGAGGTGCACATTATAATCTTTATGTGGCGTGATTGCAAAGCGAGTTATAAAAGCTAAGTATTAGAATTTTAATTTTACAGTTTTATATCACAATTTAAGGTTTAAAGAGCAGCGAAGCATGACAATCTTTTGGGGTTTTCTAAGAACATGATGCACAGTGATTGGCTATATCAAGGATAGGACTGTTATCCTTGACATGTTTTATTTGTTAGGAAAATTATTCTGTATAAACTTTTAGGTATTGTATTAAAACATACTGTTACATTTTTATAAGTTATATCTTCTTTCTGAGCGACCCTGTTTTTCTTCCTCCAGATGTGTCTAACACACATAACTACCACAATTTGCCAGAGTTTCTTTTAATAACTTCCTAGCAATAAAAACACAAACTATATGACTGCCTGGAGCTTTTTCCTGTGTGGTCATTTGTGTAAAGTTACTGTAGCGTTCACAGGAAGAAAAGTGCTGGCATGTGCTTGAGGGGACAGCTTCTGACAACCAGACAAGACAGCATATGCAGACAATTCCCTCCTCTGTTTCTCCCACAGTTGTAGAGTGCTACAGTGGCTTTTCCAGATGAGGAAACCTGAAGCCCGGGCTCCTGTGGTTGTTACGCAGTTCATGGCACTTTGGTTCTGCCCTCACTGTGCTCTGCTGAAGCTTGGAGGCCCGCGCTGCTCTCTTCTGGTGGGAGTCCTTTAAAGCTCCGCTTCAATCACTGCCGTTATCCACAGAGCTTTTGTTTTGACTTGGATAAGTTTTATCTCTGAGCTTGGATCAGCTCACTTCAGTGGTCCGTCTGGAATGTACTGAGGAGGGTTCAAAGCCAGATGGCATAAACCCTTGTGAAACGGCCGAGCATAGAAAATCAGATTCAACCTGGTCGTGAGGTTAAAAAAAATAAATAAATCCAAACGTAGCCGGATGATTTCAGCAGCTGTTTACAGGGAAATTATCACATTGTTGACTACATCTTTTTGTTATTATTACCAATCCTTTGATAAAGAAATATGTTCTCAATTGCTAACATCATATGCTTATGGCTCTAAACCTATTATAATGCAGAGTGTATATTTTAGTGAGCTTTTAGGATTCGTTCATATTATATCTCTAATGGTTTATTTGAGCTGGGGGGGAGGGGTTATTAGGAGTTTTACTTTAAAAAATATTATTGAGCTTGCATTCCATTAACAGTTCTCACACATTTTTACAGTAAAAAAAATAAAAATTAATTAAAAGATTTATTTAAGTCAAATCTTAGGAATGCAATAACATGAGCTAAACTAGAAAGGTTCTTTTAAATTTTGCTATCAATTATTTACAAGGTAAAAAAAAATAAAGATACCAGAAATTTAAAAAGAGAAGTGCAAAGGATAATCTGAGAAATTCTAGGCTAAATGCAAGCAGGCAGAAATGAACCAAAAACTACCTCTGAAAATTTCATCCTGTTCTGGGAACAAAACAAAACCCAGCTTAATTATGTCCTGGATCCTGGGTGACCAGTGAAATATGCCAGTTGTTTTATTTATGCAACACTAAAACAGCATGCTCAAAAAGATTAACAGTAGGGGACTGTGTGTAAAATATTTCAGCAGGTACAAACAAGGAGAAGGGCATAAAGTATAGTCATTACTGTCGGTATTACTACATTTTAAACTGGCTTCTGAAAAGGGATTGGACAAACAATTGAAGTACAACCTTCAGCCAAAAAATACAGTGCTGCTGGATAAAAAACAGGCCAAAACAAATGAGAAAAAAAAAAAAAAAAATCAAGCCATGCATGTTGATTTAGCATTTTAAATCAGTATGGCCGCACATTGAAACCACAGCAATTACTGAAGCCTTGCTTGTTAGAAAATTTTAAAAGCGATTGTAAGCTATATTAGTAACCTTGAATATATGACGTCATTGTTTTTACTGAGAGGGATTACCTGGAGTTGTGTCTCAGTTCATTTGCTTAAGACAAAATGCAAACACAGGTCCCACAGATTTAGTCAAAAAGCCTAACTCTTAATAGACTGACACTTATGCCGAGTATAATCAGACACTGAACTAGTTCAATAGACCTAACAAGCTGGTAATAAACTAAACAGACCACCACTTCAATTCTTTCTGGCTTCAGACAGAGGGAGTGGATGAAGGTAGAATTTAACTGGAAATGTTTTCATTTTTTTCTGCACGTTATAAAGAAATTGATCAGAATGTCGAGTTCTGGTGTTAAAACGGTTTCCCAAAACAGACCAAAACCTACACCTGCATTTTAAGACAGTTTCTAATTTTAGATGTTATGTTGTTCTAACGACTAATGACTGTTTTTCTTGGAAAGAAGGAAATTCTGTCTGAGCTTCTCAACAATGATGAAACTTTGAGTCATGACTGAACCAGTAAACATCTGGCTCCAGATTTTATTCCTAATAGCATGTTTTATGTTGTGTTACACGTTTATAGCTTATATAACAAATCATCAAATTGTAAAGTAAAGTAAAAAAAAAAAAAAAAAACCTCACTCCACCTTTTTCTAGTCCAACACGAACACCTATTTATAAAACAGAGCAGCAGTATGACAGTGCTGCTAACTCCTGGATTCCCAGCTTGAGGAGACAAAGTGAGCAGTGTTTTCTGTTTTCTCGCTGGAGAGCTCCAAGCCCCAACACACTAATCCAAACCTAACACTTTCTCCATCTGCAACTTCGGGTGCATAACACCAAGCCGAGCCCTGCAGAAGTTTCTTAAACAGGAGTCAATTTTTTGGCAACTTCTACTCAATGCTGTCAGTGTCATTTCAAGT